AAGAAAAATAAAACCGAACACACACTGATACATCCACTTTGTTTGCCTCAGGAAGTGACGTCACCACTGGAGATTCATGGCCTGTAATTGTCGATGGCTACGGTTCTATCACCCTCCTTGCTGGCCACATCGGAGGTTGGACGAATATTGACTTTTCGGGCGATATCAAACACAAATTTCATAAAAAAACGGAACGAATTTAGAAAAAGACAAATACCGGCGTTGACGAATATGGAGTTCTTTTTTAATTATGTAGAATATAAAGGGCAGAATAATGAGACCGGTATGCAGTTTGTCTTGAAGCGTTATTACGGGGCACAGAAGAATAAAGTAGAAAGACGAACAAGAGTATTATGGAAGTAGGAGTTTCCGAGATTATTATTTGACAAGAGCATCAGAAGCGGCCTTGTCGCTGATAACTGGCTCAATGGCTACACCAGACCCATTCCTGAGACCGAGATTGATTTGATTTGATTCAAGAACCGACAACACAGCACTCGGGGCATTCCCATAAGCGCTCTGTCTCCATCTTCAGCAGCCAGCGAAGAGTTCCGATACTAATGGTGCCAGTAGCATTCTGATTAAACGTCCGTCTTGCCTTTCCTCTGAGCCTTAAGCATCTGCCAGAACCTCTCGTCACTTCCCCCTGCATAAATCCCACCAGACTGTGGTGATTCATCTGCTCTTCCGAACTCTACACGCTCTCCCACAAGGCACTAACCACTTCTGCCTTAGCATGTAAAAGTATTCCACCAAGTTGTGCAGAGCCAGCCAGTCTGTCCGTCTGTTCATTTCCCGAACCCCGGTGAAAAAATCCAGACAATACTCTTCACCCGTGTCCTCCGCAGCGAAGCATGCCACTCTGCACGAAGCATACCTGTTCTGATCTTCCTCAGCATGCTTTCTGAATCAGTTACAATCACGAGGTGTGTGTGTATGTGTCGTGTTCTCTAGCCAGCGGAAAGCTGCAGTGACCGCCCCCACCTCCATTCTTAAGCTGGATGTTGTGGTATCATTTGCTAGGCTCTCCTGCACCAAACGTCGACCATAAACTTCTGCTAAGAAGCCCCAAGCACTTCTTTTGCCTCTTGACACTGAACCGTCTGTGTAAATGATCACATCCTCTGAGCGAGCATTATCTTGAATTAATTGCTGATGTAAACCTGTCTGATTGTGTCTTCTGCCTGAGCCATCCATGACCTCCATCTTATCAGCCGCTGACCCTTAACTGCACCCAGAGCTTCATGCAGAGGGTGGTCTGTGTCTGCAGCTACCCTGAGATATGACTTCGCCTGCAGCACCCTGTGCCTACTGCAACCGTGGCCAACCAAGGATGTATCGCATACACACCACTGGGGTGTCTCTGGTGCAACCAAGAATGACCCGCATAGCCGCGTTCCGAATGCGCTCTAGTTTGTCCATCTGACTCTTTGAGACCGAGAAAGATCAAGCAAACATAAATGGTTACAGAATCATCCAATACACCCCAGAACACTGTAGATAAATAACCTCATGGAAACATCATGATTAGAAATGTTGATCTGAAAATTTAAGAAGAAAAATGTTAGGGTTACATTCCAGCAAATATAAACACCTAAGAATGCCAGCTTCGATGTTGGCGGATTTCATCTGCATTTGAAGTGACCTTGACAGGAAGAAAATAAAAGCGTCAAACTCGAAACCAAAAATATTAATTTAAAAAAAAATACATATTTCAGTTGCATATCGCCTTTAAAAAAAAAGCCCCCCCCCCCCCCCCCCATCCCTGACTATGACCAACTTCTCATGGGAACATGACCAACTCTTCTCATGGGAACATGACCAACTTCTCATGGGAACATGACCAACTTCTCATGGGAACATGACCAACTTCTCATGGGAACATGACCAACTTCTCATGGGAACATGACCAACTTCTCATGGGAACATGACCAACTTCTCATGGGAACATGACCAACTTCTCATGGGAACATGACCAACTTCTCATGGGAACATGACCAACTTCTCATGGGAACATGACCAACTTCTCATGGGAACAATAAGTAGAGGTACCTTGGCGTGCCTGCCTTATCAAGTAAATAAGTAGGTATGGGACTGTCCAATGTGTAGTGACGTCGACTGTGATAACAACATGGTGATGGTGACGAAGATTATAGGTCTTATAATTAAAAAAAAAAAATTATCATCAGGTAGCAGATCCTTTGCAGAACGTCGCTCTCATCACAGTCTGCCTAAAAGGAATTCGTTCTCTCGCCAGTTCTCCGGCCTCATGTACTTTCATACTCAAGGAGTCACTAATATCATGTGCCCATCTTCGTGTCGGTCAGCCCCTGCCTCTCCTTCCTGGTACCATGCCTTCTGCTATAATTTTTTTCCAGTCCGTCGTGGCGATTTATATGACCAAAATATTTCAGCTTCCGAAAAAGGATGCTGTTTATTAGCCAATATTCCTTGATGCTCAGATCTTCTGAGATGTCAATATTATTCCTCTTCTTTGTCCAAGATATTCTCATAATCTTTCTATAGCATTTCAGCTCAAAAGCCCCTATTTTCTTTCTTAATGACTGGGAGATAGTCCACGACTCACATCCGTGTGTAGCCACAGGGAAGATGAATGCTCTCAAAATTCTAATTTTCATCTTCTTGCTGGTGCTTAACCACTGACTTTTAAGGCTGTGAGTGAGTGAGTGACTTTCTACCCCACTAAGACATCACACAAGCGATAAACACCCGATGACACAACGTGCCACCATGTGGATGAGGATCACCGTGGAGAGGTCCCAGAAACCGCGTTCAGACATTTGGCCATTTTTATGGCCTGCCTATATTGCGGCCCCTGGCAAAAGCCAGAGTGGGGCTTCAAATAACAAAAAATTACGTCCTGAAAAGGACGTAAGGAATTTTATATCATCAGTTTTAAGGCTGTTCAATCTTTGCATTGCTATGGCCATCCTCCTTTTAATTTTTATCGAAGTCTCCATTGATGTTTATTATAGAGCCTAGATATTCAAAGTTTGTGACATTTTCAATTTCTTCATTTGTTGTTATTTTTGGGTGACAGCCAGTTTTATCTGTGGATAATATTTTTGTTTTGTTTAGATTTAAGTATAGATTTTGATCTTCACTGTACTTTTGGACAGACAAAATTAAATTTTCTTTTCTCTTTACGCTGTTCGAAAGGAGGACTGTGAGTGAGTGAGTGAGTGACTTTCTACCCCACTATGACATCACACAAGCGATAAACACCCGATGAAACAAAGTGCCACCATGTGGGTGAGGATCACCGTGGAGGGGTCCCAGAAACCGCGTTCAGACATTTGGCCATTTTTATGGCCTGCCTATATTGCGGCCTCTGGCAAAAGCCAGAGTGGGGCTTCAAATAAAAAAAAAATTAAAAGTCCTGAAAAGGACGTAAGGACTTAATGAGGAGGACTGTGTCATGTCATCTGCATTTAAAATCATCTTGACTTCCCGAAGGGAAATTACTCTCGAGTTAAACAATTCCGGTCTGCTGGTAGAGAAACATTAGTTTTTTTTTTCAAACCTCTTAACTTTCTGATTTAAAACCTGATATTAACGGTCAACTATTTGTTAAAAAAAAAAAAAAAAGATTGCTTTCTGGATCTTCATCGGACCGGTAATAAATGTAAGGGATTTAATGCAATGTTAAGTTTAGTAAAACAACCGAATATTATTAATATTATTAAGAATAGTGATTCACTGAACTGTTCGTTCACTGGCTAGCAACCAGTGTACAGTTCAGACGATCACAATTAATTAATGGCACAGGTTGTCGTCTGATTATTTGTTCGTTAACTAATTTAGTACTAGCAACCGACTATACGTTTCCAGAGATAGTAACACTAATAGTATGGTAACCTCTTAGGAGGTTAAATGGGGTGTATCTTTGATTTGTTGTGTAGGATTGACACCCAAGATGTGGCTCATCTGGTCACAGACATGTCAGCCTTCAGCTCAGAAAGGGACTGAAGAGGGAATATAAGTCTGTAAGAGCCACTAGGGGTAGGGGATGGGGGGGGGGGGTGAAAAGTCACTGGGGTTGGTGAAAGAGCTTGCAGACTGGCCATGTCAGCACAGGTTAGTAGAAGAAGTCTGGGCAGGGCAGACATGCTGAATGTGCTACATTCCATAGACGATGGGACAAAGTACTCAGAGAGGATGAACAACCTGAGTGTAGAAACTGGTTACAGGGAAAATGAAGCAAGGTATGCCAGTCAACTCCTAAGGACTACATAGAGAATGGAGACACTAAGATAGCTGCTGCATCAGAGGATGAAGCATGAATAGGTAGGACCACATGATAGGAACTCTACACAAAGTTAAAAGAAAAAAAAAACATATGCTAAATTCATCAGCCGGATGAAAAGGACCCTTTACCTTTTTTTTTAAAAACTTATGATGTTGAAAGTGTTTTTGGAATTTGTTCCTGTTTTGTTGTAGCTCGCTGTGGTGTCAGACATTCAGGTTTCAGTTCTGGGTGGTTGGGGGGGGGGGGGGGGGGACTGCTAATAGAGAAATCTGGTGATCTATGTCTCTGGGGCAAACCTCTACACACCCAGGTAGAAGATTGACTAAGTAAGGAAGTAAGTTTTTTTTCTCACTGCGAAGCAGTTCACTAACAAAAAACAGGAGTCATCAGGATAAACACAGTCAGAAATGTGCTTAGATCAGAGCGCTTATGGGTATAACTGGCATGCTGTGAAGATGATATTGAAATAAATAATTATTTCACCCCTGCTTACCTCTGAAGGGGTGGTTGATATATTTATACTGTGTGGTTTACAGCTAGGTTTTGATTTCTCTACCTTCTGCTCAACATCATATTAGTTATGAGCCTTTTACACAATGCTTGTTGGACTTATTCTCGCCTCCCCCAAATGGGCCTTGAGATCCATATAGGAAAACCTTTACACACAGCAGTATTAATCACATAATAGGTAATATACTTATAGAATGTCATTCTGTAATATTTCAGTCAGATGGCTTTCAGGTTAGCCAGTTTGAGAAAATTGACGGCTGCCTCACTTCTCTTGGTGCAGATAAGAAATGCAAGGGCAGCACAGAATGTAGTATTGTTAGCTGACAAGACCTCCCACTTCTTACAGCCTGCTGGTGCTGTGGTAAGCATTACTTGTTGAGATTGGCATGTTCAACCATTTCACCTCAAAGGTTTAAGAAAAATCCGTAAAAACAACAATTTTTACACAGGTCACTAATAAATTCTTTTTTAAAATGTATTTATCAACATTGTAAAATTATTCTTCAAAATATAAAAAGATATAGGAGTGGAGTAATCAGTAAATACTAAGGGGATTGAATTAAATGCATCTCCTTGGGCCAAAAAAATATACATATTGGGTGACTCATGCTGTGACCCTATGTCTCTCGACCATGAGTCTTATGTGAAAATCTGATAACCTTGCTTTGAAAAAATGCCTGTTAGTGCAAAGGAAAACCCCTCTACATGCTATTTTTAGTTAATTTAATAATAACCTGACATCCTAAACATTTGCGGAGGTGCGAACTCAGCCATTTCTATTAAAAGGTCATTGCATTAACTAATCATCTTGTAAACATGTCCTGATAGGCTAGTCGAAAAAGTGACATTTATTGGGAATTGGACCCTCTGGAAGGTGTCAGGTTTTCAGATTCTCGGGGTGAAAGGGTTAAAGGTTTAAAGTCGAGAAAATCGACTTTATTGCTGTGGGTTTAATTTAAATGGCTTGGTCTGTGTCCGCAAAATGGCTAGCCTCTGCCAAGAGCATCGTTTAACCTATGCATTCCTTAGCTCAAGTGATCCCCAGGGATCTTCTAAAGGCATCTCATAAAGTGATCTCCTAAAGGGATCTAAAAATTGAACTTGTGAACTGAATGACTCAGTTTCAGTCCATATAAAGAGCCTATGAGCCACTTGACCTTTTCAAGTACCTCTGATAGACAGATATGAAAAGAGCTGAGAAAAATGGCTTAACCATTCATCAGCAGAGACCACCACATAGTATTTGTTGTACTCTGTATGAATAGCCATTCTGGGACTGCTCTTTACATCTTCATGCAAAAAATAAAAGTGAAGGGCCCTTTCCATGTCACTAAATCATTCGGCATATGGTGCTAAACTCATTCTGTAGACCACCTGGCACTTGATGGTGTCACATCATGCTAGTCATCTTTACTTCCAAGGATATTTTACCAGGGAAAAAACATCTCATACGCAACTCATTATGTAATCACAAAGGCATTTAGATATCTGTGTGTTTGTCATTCCCCTCAACACATCATGTAATCACAAAGGCATTCAGATATCTGTGTGTTTGTCATTCCCCTCAACACATCATGTAATAACAAAAGCATTCAGATATATATGTGTTTGTCATTCCCCTCATACACAATGCATCATTGTAATTTCATCAGAATGATCCTTTTGTTTCATTTTGTGTCCTATTGTGCCATATGGGTGCCACTGTGTGACCTTTTGTGCCAAAGTGGTGCAGCCTAGAGCTGCAAGAAATGAACATTTCACCAGTGGGACAAGACTGATTAATCATCACAGAACTGGCGTCTTCAGTCATATGGAGCTTTTGAGGAGGAGATCAGAGCACCTATGGATGTGTCTGGAGTGTTGTGATAATAATCCTCTCTAATCACTCTTACTCTGGTGTCATGTATAAATCACTTAGGGTTCACAATCTGTTCCTCATTTTGCTTCTATCCTGTGCAGTCTTTTCTGATATCTCGGATGGTGCCGAATCCAGCACATTTGGCCTCTCTAATCATTGTTTGTCCAAGGACTTCTCTTGGTTGTCCCTGTTAATGTTACTGTAGAAACATATGCATTAAGTGTCCATGCACTTTTTATCTCCAGCGTTTCTCATCAGGAAATACCTCAAATGATGAAGTCACAAAAGCGCAGCAAGCCAAATTCACTGGCCAGGAGACCATCTTCTCTAAGATCATCAACAAGAAAATTCCCGCAGACATTCTGTATGAAGACAGTGAGGTGAGCTTGAAGTAATCATACTAAGGTCATAGATTCAAGTCTCCATCGAGGTGACTTTGTACTCTTGAATCATGGTCCACCAAACCTATAACCCTTGTCAGGATATTCTTGGAGAAGTAAAGATAGTCAGTGTGATACTGGCCAGTTGACACACTGATTGGTCTATTCTATACCAGTGGTTTTCAATCTATTTCAGCCCCCTCTCCCCCTCTGATTACATGGTGAGCCCCCCCTCCCCCCCACTAAAAGAAAAATCTGACGAAAAAAAGGCCCACAAAAAAAATATCAAGCACTGTTGACAAGAACTTAGAGAAAACATCCACATAGGTCACAGTGAAAGAAATAATAAGCAACAACTGGTAATTTAGTGTCAACAAATCACTGTTTGTTTGTACAGTTCTGTTTTGATAACATCTGCTATTTGTGGTCTGATGTGAGACAAAGCACAATGGAGATCCCTCTCCACATCATGCTGGCCATGCTCAGTTTTAGTTTCAGAATTGCTTTATGTCCCCTTTGAAACTTCCTTGCACCTCTCGCTCCCACCCCCACTCATTGAAACCAAATATGGGACAGGGCTAGCTCTATATACACAGTACACCTCAAGGTGGGGAAACAGGACTGTGGCCTTCTTTTCCATCTTGTGTTGATACTATTAACTTTGGTGGTATAAAATGATTGTGGGGAAAAAGCATGGACAGAGCAGATATTGTCAACACTGTACGGACTGGGCTAGTGGATAATGAGAAATCCCTGACACTGACACGACTGGGTGACATGGAAGTAAAGCATGGTGAAGCACGTCTGTGCCATCTTTGAGGCTGAGATAGGAGACAATATAACCAGCTTCTCATAGGAACAATTAGTAGAAGTAGCTAAAAGTAGAAGTGGCTGCTGCATCTGAGAACTGAGCATGCATGGGATGCCCAAAGTGCAGTGACGTCAATTGTGATAACATAACATAAGATAACATAGTGGTTAGAATAAGATTTTTTAAAATTTGAACCAGTACAGTTTAGAAAAGGTTAAGTATCACAAATTTAGGTGGTGTTTGCTTTCTGAAAGGAACTTCAGAGGGACTGTCACAATGGTAGGTTTTCTACAGGCCACCACACAATTTCCAAAAAATGTTTTTTTTGTGTGTGTGCATGAAATCTTTTCCTAACTAAGCAGCATTTCTGGGCGATTGGACACTACTGTAAGTGCTGGTGTTGTGGCTCTTGAGGTGAAAGGGTTAATTCATGAAAGCAAATTAATATATTTCACAGTGTTTGGCATTCTCTGATGTGAACCCACAAGCTCCCGTTCACTTTCTTGTGATACCTAAGAAAGTCATCCCTATGCTGAGTATGGCCACCGAAAGTGATCAGCTGGTATGTTTTATCTGTTAGGCCAAAGCTTTCTAAACTGTTCATGTCTGTTTCATACCTATTAGACAAACATACTCTGGTAACACATTAACTCTATCTACTAACAAACTAGAAGTTAAACTAAGAGATATGTACAAATACAAACATTATTTAACATTTTACATTCACACCGCACTAAACACATTAAGAAGTTTACCTCAGGTGTTCCTTCTTTCCTATAATCTACAGGGATTATAGGAAAGAAGGAACACCTGAGGTAAACTTCTTAATGTTTTTAGTGCGGTGTGAATGTAAAATGTTAAGAAAGAAAGGGAAATAAACAAGGGACAAGTAAATTATTTTAGCTGCAGTAATAGACATAATTTAGGTTTTGAGGTTTGAAAACATCATGGCACACAGATAGTAACCTATAAGTGCTCCGTTCTTCTTCTAACTGAAGTCTGAGTTTTTGTTTTTTTGTTCAAAGTTATTGGGACATCTTCTTTTGGTTGCAAAAACAACAGCAGACAAATTAGGACTGTCGAAAGGCTACAGAGTAGGTAAGTATTTCTTTTACACATCATTTCTTTTTAATGCACGCAAATAAAGTGTGCATATTAATGCACTATCTTGGTCTTTAAAAAATTTTTTTACAAATATTTACTAAAAATAAGACCTTATTCCCAAAAAATACCTTAGCACGATTTTTCAGGATGCTCATTAAGCTCTACCCCAAAAATAAGCCATATTAAGATCGTCAGCTAAAATGAGAGACTTTGTGTTGAAAGGCTTGTCAGAGTATAGATGACACTAGTGGTGAATGCTTAACGTCGATGAAGAATTCATGGGATAAAATCACTGACAGCTGTGCTATCAATGCACCATGAGCAGGCAGCATGGACAAGAAATGCTCATTTAAGTAAAGCCTTATTGCTGGACATGAGACCGAGCCCGGCGGTTCTGCATGAAGTGGTGTCGCAGAAAATTCAGGCCGACATTGGAGATTTGGAGAGTTGTGACGATTGTCCAGAAAAGGAGACATGATTGTTTTAATGAGTTTAGATTTTTATGTCTGAAAAAAAAAAATGACATTCCCCACCCCCCAAATACTGGCCTAGTGCATTTTTTTAAGCAAAAATTAATATAGGACCTGATTTTATTTTTAGGGAGACACTGTAGTTAAATATTGATTACATAGATCAGTGATGCAATATTTGTGATTGCTTTTTGTGGTCTTAGCGAGCAATTTTAGTAGATTTTCAGTAGATTGCCATTCATCTGTGGTTGGCTAAGATGCTCAATGTAGATGATTTGGTAGCAGACCACTTATAATTGATCTCAGCAGTGGTTGCTTTTAGAGTGCTTCAGTTTTGGGAGGCGCATTAGCGCAGTTGATACAAGACTCGCTTTCAAATCCAGCTGCAACTCCCTGCAGCCTACAGTCAGTGTTTGAAACTGGGCGGTTCCTGGGGTTCCCCCAGTCTCTAGGAAATAGATACCAGAGTTGACACTCTAGTAAATGGAGGAACGTCGCTGTAGCTACAGAATTGCGTGCGGACGGCGACACAGGCGGACAGTTTCTTATTAGCTGTCCGTACTGGTGACAGAGCACTTATGGTTTATAACCGTGTGCAGTGATGCTGGTTCACATCTCCCGACTTTACCTTTACCTTTAGTGCTCATTAAAAAAAAGTTAGTTGCCTATCAGTTACAGGATGTTGCAGGGCCAACCCCAGCAGGTTTTGGCTGTTTTGGTTTTTCTAGGCAAAGTTAATGTTCAGTAGCCATTGCTTTATGAATGGTCAGCTCTCGCTACCACTGTCGAAACCAACGTAAGACAAACCCTCTGCAGCTGGGATCCAACCCAGCACCCCGGCATTACAAAGTGAGTTCACAATGCCTGAACCACAGACACCGACTCAGTGCTCATACTGTTGTGCCAAAATCAGAGCGATCAGTTTTGTGAAGAATGTCTCCTGTGCAGAAGGCTAAGTCAGGAGTGGAAGATTTACACCATCTTCTAGAGTAGAAGCTGGGTTTGTCGATTAAATGAAGATTGGAGTCCGTTTCCTAGTCCTCCACTTCATCTCCTCTGGTGACAATATCTGGGTATCCCCGTCTTTCTAAGTGGCTATTAAAGTCTCCCACTATTATGCAGTTTGTGTCATTGATTTCCATTCTTGAAAGTGTAAGATCTTTATTTGCTTGGATGTATAAACTGTATGTTCTAATTTTCTCCTCCTTTATAATGATATACATGCCAATAATTTCTGATTCATTATTTGAGTTCACAGGTACTTCACTGCTTGATATTGAGCTTCAAATAAGTATTAGAACTCCTCCCTTGTGCCATTCTCGGTTGTAGTATATAGCTTAAGATCCTCCGACTAAAAATCTGTGATGGGCATTGAGGTGTGTCTCTTGGATACATGCCACATCAGTTTTGTCTTTATGAAGGCAGTTTGTTAGAGACAAGTTTTTTTTTTTTTTTAAATTTAGGACTCCTTCAGCATTCCACTGTAATATGTTGAGTGTTCTGGATATTTGGTCAATAGTTTTTACCCTAATGCCATGCCCTGTGCCTTGACTCCACAGCATAGAGGTAGGTGCCCACCAGTAGGATGGGTGGACCCTTCAAGGCAAGGGGACGCACTATCGATATATTTTCCTTTGTACCATCTTGAAATTTATTGCTTGTCTCTCTTCGTCTGGTTCCTCTCCTTTGACCTGTCTGACATGGGAGGCCCTACCAGTTGCTAAACTACCGTCAGCATAGCTCTTAGGGTCTTTGGAACATACAAGCCCCTCTACCACTACAAGGTGCAGACACATCAGAGGGGTAAGGAAGGTTCTGAAGCTTGCTTTTTAAATGTTTCAGTGATCAACAATGGGCCTGATGGATCACAGTCAGTTTACCATCTTCACGTCCATGTTCTAGGGGCACGACAGCTTGGATGGCCTCCCGGCTAACTACAATGTTGACTGTAGGAGTTGTCTGTACATTAATTGTGTATATTAAGCTGTATAAGCAGAATACATATGTGTAATTGCTTTATGCAGTTATTCTTTTTCATTGGCATGAATGATTGATGATTTAGAATTAGGTGGCCTACCAGTGAACCCACCCCGACCCCTTTCCCAGGATACAGAGACAGGCACTCTATAAATCAGCCACTGTGCCCAAGATGTAGAGAAAGGTACCTGATCAATCAGCCATAGTGCTTCCCAGGTTGTAGAGATATAGGTACCCTATCAATCAGCCACTGTGCCCAAGATGTAGAGAAAGGTACCTGATCAATCAGCCATAGTGCTTCCCAGGTTGTAGAGATATAGGTACCCTATCAATCAGCCACTGTGCCCAAGATGTAGAGAAAGGTACCTGATCAATCAGCCATAGTGCTTCCCAGGTTGTAGAGATATAGGTACCCTATCAATCAGCCACTGTGCCCCTCAAGATGTAGAGAAAGGTACCTGATCAATCAGCCATAGTGCTTCCCAGGTTGTAGAGATATAGGTACCCTATCAATCAGCCACTGTGCCCCTCAAGATGTAGAGAAAGGTACCTGATCAATCAGCCATAGTGCTTCCCAGGTTGTAGAGATATAGGTACCCTATCAATCAGCCACTGTGCCCCTCAAGATGTAGAGAAAGGTACCTGATCAATCAGCCATAGTGCTTCCCAGGTTGTAGAGATATAGGTACCCTATCAATCAGCCACTGTGCCCAAGATGTAGAGAAAGGTACCTGATCAATCAGCCATAGTGCTTCCCAGGTTGTAGAGATATAGGTACCCTATCAATCAGCCACTGTGCCCCTCAAGATGTAGAGAAAGGTACCTGATCAATCAGCCATAGTGCTTCCCAGGTTGTAGAGATATAGGTACCCTATCAATCAGCCACTGTGCCCCTCAAGATGTAGAGAAAGGTACCTGATCAATCAGCCATAGTGCTTCCCAGGTTGTAGAGATATAGGTACCCTATCAATCAGCCACTGTGCCCCCTCAAGATGTAGAGAAAGGTACCTGATCAATCAGCCATAGTGCTTCCCAGGTTGTAGAGATATAGGTACCCTATCAATCAGCCACTGTGCCCAAGATGTAGAGAAAGGTACCTGATCAATCAGCCATAGTGCTTCCCAGGTTGTAGAGATATAGGTACCCTATCAATCAGCCACTGTGCCCAAGATGTAGAGAAAGGTACCTGATCAATCAGCCATAGTGCTTCCCAGGTTGTAGAGATATAGGTACCCTATCAATCAGCCACTGTGCCCCTCAAGATGTAGAGAAAGGTACCTGATCAATCAGCCATAGTGCTTCCCAGGTTGTAGAGATATAGGTACCCTATCAATCAGCCACTGTGCCCCTCAAGATGTAGAGCAGAGCTATTCAAATAAGTTTGCTCGCTGGCCAAAATGCTGAAATTGAGGATCCTCTCAACAACGAACCATTGTCTGCCACCCCCCCCCCCTCCCAAACCAAGATGTAGAGATAGGTACCCTATCAATAAACCAGTACCCCTAAGGATTTATTGACAGGTGCCTTACCCATAATCCACTTTCCCCCCCAAGATTTATAGGCAGACATCCAGCCTCTAAACCTTCACAATGTAGAAGCCAGTAGTTGCCCTGCCAGAGAGTTACTGTTCACACAAAACAACACAGATTACTCTATCTCAGAGCTACAGTGTGATTCTCAAGCATGCACAAACCATGAGTAAGTACTGACCAGAATGTTTTGAACTCAGCAACGTTTATTAAACTGTTCATGAGCAAAGACGTTCACACAAAGATGACATAAATGGAAGTTGTTGGAAGGGCTATATTATTGTGTGTAAAATCATTCATTCAGTCACTGATACAAATAGTCCTGCAATAAATGTGGTACATGAGTCAGTTTTGATTTCTGTATACCCCCCCCCCCCCCCTTTTTCCTATACTAGAGCATGCTGAACCATTCAGTTCCCAAATGCGTGAATCGACTTCTCAATATATAATGGTGCCTCAGTATACATACTTAATCCATTCTAGATCCTTGGACATATACCAAACAAATTTTCCCATTAAAAAAAAGGGGGGAGAATGATTAGTCTGTTCTTATACAAACAAATCATAGGCATATTATACAGTGATGGGAAGATGGTTACTGTACTACTCAATACTGAGGTTTGAGGTTTTGAACAACGGATCAACATCATGGCACATGGGTAGTAACCCGTAAGTGCTCCGTTCTTCTTCTAACTCAAGTTTGAGTCTGAAGAAGCTCAGCACAATGCACAGGTTCTGTAGCACCGGCGAGGATCCTAAAATACTTTGGGTAGATTTTTAACTCCAAATTTTTAAATAAAATACATAAATACAAAAGCTGTTAAATGAGAAAAAGTGCCACCTGAGCAGTCAGACCTGTGTAGAGTCATAATCACGGTGATCCGGGAATGCAGAGACTGGTCAGCAGGTGCCACAGAGGTGGAAATTCAGCAATTAATTCAAGATAATGCTCGCTCAGAGGATTTGATCATTTACACAGACGGTTCAGTGTCAAGAGGCAAAAGAAGTGCTTGGGGCTTCTTAGCAAAAGTTAATGGTCGACGTTTGGTGCAGGATACCACAACATCCAGCTTAAGAATGGAGGTGGAGGTGGTCACTGCAGCTTTCCGCTGGCTAGAGAACACGACACACACACACATCATAATTGTAACTGATTCAGAAAGCATGCTGAGGAAGATCAGAACAGGTATGCTTCGTGCAGAGTGGCATGCTTCGCTGCGGAGGACATGAGTGAGGAGTATTGTCTGGATTTTTTCACCAGGTCACCCCGGTGTGTTGGGAAATGAACAGCCGGACAGACTGGCTGGCTCTGCACAACTTGGTGGAATACTGCTACATGATAGGGCAGATGTGGTTAGTGCCTTGTGGGAGAGCCTGTACAATTCAGATCACCAGATGGATCACCACAGTCTGGTGAGATTGATGCAGTTGGGGGTGACGAGAGGTTCTGGTAGAGGCTCAAGGCTCAGAGGAAAGACAAGACACATTTAATCAGAAAGCTACTGGCACCATTAGTATCGGAACTCTTCGCTGGCTGCTGAAGATGGGGACAGAGCGCTTATGGGAATGCCCCGAGTGCTGTGATGTCGGTTCTTGAATCAAATAAAATCAAATCAAATCTGTTAAATGAACTCTATGAAAATTTAACCTTACTTTACCTCCTAGAGGAAAGTTGAGTGTCTACTAAGAATTTGCTGAGAAGGGAGGAGGAGATTCTGTTTGTAAGGACAGTCTCTTTCCAATAAAACTTCAGGAATCTGAAATTCTGGTAGGTTTTCTCTCTTTGGGGGGGGGGGGGGGATTCCTGTCTCTTTCTCCAACTTGGGCCTGGTTGAGGCTCATCAGGTTTGACTTTTACTAAAACTCTGTTCAATGGAACTTGGCTTCAACTTTTTTCTCAGGATGTTTAGGACATGTGCCATTGTCTAGTCATTCCAGGCAATGCTATTTCATCTTGTTTGGGCTCTGCTGGGGTGGTACTTCTCTGCAAAGTCACTGACATCTATCTCTGGCTTTGTGTTAGAGGTAAACAAGGAATGTGGGCTGTGTTGTGACTAATTTTGACATATATGCTCAAATCAACAGAATTATGGGTTGTAAACATGCAGCAGCTTTTCAAACAGTGAACTCATGGAACATTTCGAGATAGTGCCTTTTCAAACAGTGAACTCATGGAACATTTCGAGATAGTGCCTTCTCAAACAATGAAATCATGGAACATTTGGAGAAAAGTGCCTTCTCAAACAATGAAATCATGGAACATTTGGAGAAAAGTGCCTTCTCAAACAATGAAATCATGGAACATTTGGAGAAAAGTGCCTTCTCAAACAAAGAAATCATGGAACATTTGGAAATAGTGCCTTTACAAACAGTGAAATCATGGAACATTTGGAGATAGTGCTTCACATCTAAGACTTTAATCTAAAGGAATATACACAAAAACAATTAAAGCCTGGATTAAACTTGGCCCACTCACTGTCTTGGCAGATGAATGCACTTGCCACTACAGTATGTAATTCAAATATACATCAGATTTGTAACAGCGAATTCAGGACAACATTCAGATATGGCTTATCATTTCATGTCTAGCACAAGAAAAAACTGAACCGAACCTGGGACCATTTTCTTGACAAGAGCACCAGTCAGTCACTGCAACTCCAATGAACATGGTAATGAATTGTGAATATAAAAAATTCAGCAACTTTTCAAGCAACGAATTCAGGGCAACATCTGGCATATTATGCAGACTCATTTTGTTTTACAGACCAAGCCATGGGTAATGTGGTCAACATTATGCTGGCCACATTTACTTCCCAGGACATTACCTGCTACCCAGTTTAGACTGGGTCGACTTGGAAATGTTGCCTAACCATTAGACCACCACGGCTTCCACAGAAACAAATTATAAATGGATTGAGGCAGGTGCCCTAACAAGAATGGAACGGAACTACAGCTCCAGACAACAGAATAATGAACTGTAAATGACATACAGCAACTTCTCACATTCAAAGCAGTTTCTGAAGACATCGCATTGCTTCAGGCTTATATTTTCACAGCTAAATGAATAGACAAGGAAACAAATGTAATCATTTATAAGAACCTTTTAAGTTGTGGTTGAAAATAACCGTTCTCCATCGTGAACAGGTTAACTCTTTGAGTCCCAGGGGGTTTACCATCACAGGCCCCGGGGGTAGTAAATAGTCATAAAATCGGGGCATCATGCGTTCATTGGGCTTCTAGGTAGGAACCTATGAACATATGATGCGTTCCTTGGGACTCAAAGAGTTAAGCCATTTAGCTTCATATTCTCAATGCTGTGGGTTTGGTCTCGACTGTCCT